CGATGACCTGTGAATATTTTTGTTCCTATAACATGCGCTACGGTTTTCCTTAAATGATACTTTCCTTACGACATCTTTCCGCTTAGCACCGCGATAATGTGAAAGTTCCGTGAAAAGGCTACGTTAATTACGCATGTATTCGATTCTTGTTAATTACGTATTACGAGACCGGTAATTAATGAGTCAACATTATTACGTCGAATAACATCACGTTCTGCGAAACATCACACACGTTGGTCTATCATTAAAAATTCTTTTTGAGCCTTGTTTATTAAAAAAAAAAAAAAGTTGATTAAGCAAAATTATATCTAGACCACTCTGTATATTAATATTACATGCGGCATTTCGCGAATACGTGTTGGCACAGCAGGCGAGAAACGTGACACGGAATGACACCGATCGTTTCGACCTTGATAGCCGACGTTGCACCTCGCGCGCCTGCACATCCGTTCGAGTAACCGTTACAACGACGCCGGTTCTTAATGTTCAAACCGACATGGAAGAAGTCGGACGTGACGTTTAAATAAACGATCACGAGTCATCGCCCGATGGCAATAATAAATCGTGTTTCTCTCCGCGCTCGCGGTTTTCCGAAGACTCATCGGCGAAGCCACAAGCATGTTGGTTGCTCAACGACGTATCACGCTTTCCATTCTCCTCCTCGCGTGTTACCGCGCAATTAATTCCGCGAGGATCATAATCGGAAAATCGGATTTTGAGTAACATCCCGACGCGGCGATGCACTCATCGATTTTATCTCCCAGGAAACTCAGCGTTGATAAAAGAAACTCGACTCGTAATCTCTGATAACGAAGCACAGAGCTGATTAAGAGACACCAAGGAAAGGAGATGCTCGTTGAGTTAAACGGTATACGCTATCGTGCGCTTCAATTTTTCGCAGACGATTTCATATTTCGCGCATCATGTTTACGCGATGAATGAGATGGGAAGCAGGACGATGTTGCCGCGCGTCGCGGATCTGGAGCGAAGTGTTCAGTGGATCAGCCTGGCGAACGACATCGACGATATGGAGAGGAGACGTCGGGCCGACGACATACCGATGGCTCATACGATCGAGAGACACACCTATCAACGAGGTTCTATGCCGGAAATACAACGGGCGTGCACGATTCGTTGCGACGATGATCGCGACGCGCTCTCGCAAAGAGATCCGGACAACTATCCGGAGCCGGAGAACTCCCGGTGGAGTTGGAAGCCGAGAACGGATTTTGAGCGGGAGTACTTCTACAAGGATTACAAGGACTATTACTGCGGCGATTCGGGTGCACGCTTCGAACCCGCCGTCTATGAGGTCTCCGCGGGGGATCCAAGTTATCTGCAAGCAGAAGCGCGACGTCCCTACGGAAGTCCCGCGCGTTTCTCCTCATCGGCGCGTCATCCTGTAGGACTCGAGAAGGAGCATTTTAGCGACAGCAGGGATCGGTTGCACGAGATTTTCGAGCACAATCGCTATCTTCGACGACAGTTCTTCGCCGACACGACGGGAAACGCACGACGGAATTGCAACGGGTTGTATTCCAAGAACCTCAGCAGGAGCAATCAGACGTCCAGGCGCTGCACCGGGTTCGGCAGCACCGAGACGCTCACTAGCCAGAGCAATCAATCGTCCATGAGTAGTATAAATGACCGGAAGTCTCGGACGCAGACGACGCGTACTCCAGAGGAAGAGGAGGAGGAGGACGCGTTGGTCGAGGTTGCCAGGAGGAACAATGTCGTTTCGCGTAGGAAATTCAACGTCAATTTGTCTCGAGTCGATCGCAAGAGTGATATCCGGAGAGACGGCAAGGTGCTCGTCAACATTTTACCCGGAAGCGAAATAAGACGCGTCGACGTGACAAATGTACCGACTGTTAATCTTGAAGAGGCGAATAACGAAAGGAACGAAACTGATCTCGGCGCATGGCGCCGAAAGAGGGGCCTGCCCGAGTACATCTTTGGAGACACAAAGATTGATTCTCGACGAGACGGAACCCTGCCAAGTCGTTACAACAAAAATTATCGCGACGCGGGAGATCGACCGGCGCCGGACAAGGCGGAGCGAAACTGGAACCGACTCTCGCAAAACGAGATCTACCCTTGGACAATCTCTGAGGGCGAGCGATTGGAGTGCGTTTCGGCGAATGTCGGGTCGAGAAGTGACGGAGGGACACGCCGGGATCTCTGCAAATCCATGCCGAATCTGACGATCCAAAAACAGAACCTCGACGCTCCGCTCTATGTCGCACGAGCGGTCAATGTTCCCGAGGAACGATCCTCGTCGGACGATTACGCGCTCGATTCTCATATCGCAAGATCGTGTCATGGGTCAAGCCAATGTCGGGAGCAACGATCGGGACGACGCGAGGGTCCGACACGCTCGATCGGCCGCGGACAATCGATATCTGAGGCAACGACGATCTCGTCCGAGCGTTGGACCCTACGGAGCAAAGTCGGGACGAGGGTTCCTCCTCCTCCCCCGTTGGACCTCAGCATGGTGAACGAACAGTGCGAACGCATGGAGGCGGACGAGAGGAGATATCTGAACGATTACAGCGTCGACGTGGCTATCCTTCGCAGCCACGAGGATCTCGCAAAAGATCCGCTGATCGTCGCTGAAAACGAACGGTGGGATCGCGTCAAGAGCGTTGTCGGCAACAGTATCGAGAAGATTGACCCTGATGCCTCCCGCCGTGACCGCCGAGCCAGCCCTTTGTTCGATCAGACGAGTCCGATTGGCGGACTTCACGCCGCCGGAAGCACGCTTCGCTCTACGGTCTACGGACCGATTCCGTACAGTCAGTAAACATGCACACAATTTTCCTGAAATAATGCTCTTCCTGCCGCGCGGTTCTGTTAGGATCGTTTTGCTATAGCCGTTGTTGGCGATGATTGAAGAGGCGAGAGAGATAGATAGAGGGAAGCGTAAAGTAGGTTTCGTATTCCGGAATCGGTGTTTCTTTCCGCGTTATGTTAATTAGACAACGCGATATAATCGGATCGTGAATCAGGTCAATAAGGATAATGTTTGAAAAATAAAAACATCTTTACGATATCGAGTAATTGATACTGTATAAAAAAATGAAATTGAAGGAAAAGTTCTTTATTTGCAATTTTAAAAATAATTAATATCACACACGCACTCCAATTTGCTACAATAGCGAAAGAAAGTAGCCTCCCACGATCTACGAGTGTCAATAATAAAATGGGATTAAATTATACGAAGAGAGAATCGGAGAAAAATGAATCGTAAGATACCGTAAACAAAAAAAAAAAAAAAAAAGGTCTAACACATAGGAGAAAGAAAGAGAATCGATCGCGTGAGAATCTCGCTGAATGAAAGCGGTGAAAGGTGCCAACGGGATGTTCTGCGTGAGATTGAAATTCGGTTTCTCATTTCGGCGTTTATGACAAGCCCTCGTTACGCGCTTATAAATTAAATTACGCTAGCGAGACGAAACCATTGGGCGAATTCAGCGCGATTTCACTGGAAAAGGATGAAAGTCACTGATTTAAAATAGATTTCGATTTCTTTTTACATGAGTTAATAATTATATATCTTCCTCTTGCATCTTTTTTATTATTTTACTTTTACGTATAACATTCTAACGTAACATTTTGTTTTCGTAACATTTGGAGCATTAGAAATGTGCGTATCCTGCAAAAAAAAGATTTATATCGACAAACTTACTTTCTCTCTCTCTCTATCTCTCTCTTTTATGACGCATCTTTTGTATAAACGCATCTCGCGACTGCGCTTTACCGCTGGAGATGGTTGCAAGCTGCATACCGTGTTATCAGTCGTATAGTCTCGGTGCTGTCCGAATAAACCTGGTCATTATCCCGCGCAGCGCGTTCGCTGACGAGCAGGTGCGTGCGTAGCACTTCTGTGTTCTCTCCTGAAATATAAAGCTTCGTATAAGCTCTTCACACGTGGTCTCTCTGATAAGAGGCGGGAGGGAAGTTCGGCGCGAGTCGGTACACACGGTCGTTGGCTGCTCTCTTCGTGCATTTGCATAAATCAGTAAAGATTACTCGCGAATGTGCGACTAACTGATACGAAGATCTTCCGAGGGCTTCCGGATAATAATATGTGTATTATAATAATAAACGTTGTAAATCGGCTTAAACCTTGGCATTTATCCCTGCCAAGTCACGTGCGCGTAATCAGATGTAATCAAGCGTTGCGTAAAATTACGTTCAGAGACCGTGTCTAGGTTTTTATCTCTCGCTGGTCGATGACCGCTGCTTAAATATCGTTTCCCTCCGCGAGGAAGCCATATGTTCTATCGGGGAATGAGCTAAACAAGCGACCGGCCTCGAAGTGGGTCAAGTCGCCGTCTCTTATGTTTGTCTATGATTCAATCTTTCTCCATAAAATGATCTGACGCGCGGGATACGATGCTCGCATGCTCCAGTAACTCTGTCGGACTTGAGATCATCGGATGAATGATCGCGAGTAGATCGGAATGTGTTGGGAAATGTTGCGAAATCCGCGAATCTCTCGCTTCGAACGATCCTATTAAAATAACGATCAAGATTTAATAATAATTACGACGCAATCGTGGCGTTCGTATTTATAATACGATCCGAATTTCGCGAATACGAATCTTTGACCGACGACAAATGTACGCCATCATCGTTTTTAATAATGATAAAAGGTTCAATAGGGCAGCGTCAGATGACGATGCGATTAATAACTCGATAAAACGGCACGTGTTTCGAAACTGCGCGCCCAATAAGACGCTCGTGTCAATCGAATAATTTAAACCGAAATTAACAACGGCATATTATATACACACTCGAGGATATAATTGAACACAGTTGCGCAAATATGTTGTATATATCCAGCGTTTTCGAGGGAAAAAAAAAAAAATGCGATGAACGCGCGATGTTATTCGGCTTCTCGCGGTCGATCGATACCAATAAAAGCGTCTCTTGTTTAATACAGAATCGCCGAGGCGTTATGTGGAGGGTGAGGTGACGATTCACTATCGCTCGCCGGTGCGTACAGAGGCGAAGGAGCCGCTGAGCGAGGAGGAACTCGCGCGACGAAGCGCAGAGAACATGCGGCGCGTCTACCAGGAGGAACGTCGTCGCAAGTATCTCCAGGAGTTGCACGACATCGATTCCCGCAGGCACACGGATAACTTTATGTAAGTGCAAAGGATTTCTCTCTTTTTATCAATTTTTATTTTTCTTTTCAGAGTTTGAGAAATCGCGGGTGAGAAGTTTGGACTGAGACTTTAATTTCATGTATTTATTTTTATTTTTTTTAATTACAAAGTTTAGAAATGAAAAAAGCAAAACGAAACCTTTTTTCAAATTTTAGTTTTGACAGTTTGCGCGTAAAGATTGTTTAAATAATTTTTATTATTATTTGGCATTATTCTTGCTGCATTCTTTCCGACACAAGATAATATTTTAAAAGAGAATGTTTATAACATCGGGGCATGTGCATTCTTAGTTTGTCGTCAGTTTGTAAACACTTCCTGCTATTCAACGGCCGTTGCGTAACGCGTCTCGCGTCGTGAGCTGTTTTACGCGGGCGTCACAATGAACGCGTAGGTGAGCACGCAGGTAGAGAAATCGAGAGAGAAAGAGAAAGAGAAAGAGAGAGAGAGATTTCATCGATGTTTTTTCCCCTCCAGGAAAGGATGCCCCTCGTTCTTGAATATTTCTGATAGTAGAAAGTCTCCGTCTCGGTTACTTTGATTGAAAAAAAGCAGATAAAATTCTATCGTAGTTCTTAATTAAGTATCTAACTGTAAAATATCGAATATTTTATTTAAATTCTCATAAAGGATATAAAACCGGAAACTATGGAAAAGAAAAATATTGGAAAAGAATAAATCTACATTTCTTCGAAATTTCTACATCCGCAAATACTCGATAATCATCGCGAGATGAGATGGCATTTGATCGGAGCAAACAGAAATGACAATCCACGAGGTTCGAGAAATAGTTTGATTTTAACAGTTTCAACAATTGCAGACCCTCGCAGAAGTCGCCCATACCTCTGAATCGCTACGACGACTTCGTGGACGATCTGAGCCAGCGAAGTCGGTCCCAAGATCAAACACCGGAACCGCGTTTGGTCGCGCGGGCGCTCTACAACTTCGTCGGGCAGTCGTCGCGGGAATTGACTTTTCGACGCGGCGACATCATATTTGTCCGACGACAGGTTGACAAGAACTGGTACGAAGGAGAATACAATGCGATGATCGGACTGTTCCCTTCCAACTATGTTGAGGTAAATCCGCTCACGGATTCAGATTTTACAAATATAAACGCGAAAAGTTAAGTGTTTACTCGCGTTGCTATATAAATTAGCGCTATGTAAATTGGAACGTTTATAATGCAGATTCTACCGTACGATGGTACGATGCGAACGACACCGAAGAAGGCTCACGAAGGACAGGCACGGGCCAAATTCAACTTCATTGCCCAGACTAATCTCGAATTGTCTTTAGTGAAAGGTGAGCTATGATTGTGAGTCGAGAAATTTTTTTTTTTTTTAATTATTTCTCGAATTATCGTTTCACGTATATCTGTTTACAGGCGAATTGGTGGTCTTGACGAGAAGAGTCGACGAAAATTGGTACGAAGGGCGCATAGGAAACAGAAAGGGAATATTCCCGATCTCTTACGTTGACGTCATCGCGGAGCCTGGACATCGATCAGGTAATTTTCGCGGAAGCGAGAAATTCGATAGAGAGCATCGCGAATATCGAATCGACGAAATTTGTACGGAGAAAATTTTTTTTATTTTTCAGAGACACCGATTCAAAACAAACCGGTCGCTTCTCCGGCGGCGCACAGTCTCCTAGCGAACGGCTCGTCCGGAGGGAAACTGAGTATGGGACCCCATCATTACGTGCCGTCCATTCCGGTCAATATCAACACAACCCAGCCCCATTACAATTCACTGGTAACTATCTCGCACGATCTCTCGTATCGCGATATCGCTTTATGATATATTGTTGTTAACGAAAATATTATTCAAGACAACTCTAGATATAAAGTGAGAGACCGTTAAAAAATATACGCGTAACAATCTGATCTCTTTTGTGCTTGCAGCCACGTATGGGAGGGAGCAAGTTGCATGTATCACAACTCAGCGAAACGTTGCACATCGACACGCATTCGGAACCAATCCCGTAAGTCTGCGATTTCTTATTCGCATTTTATTCAGTGAAATCTTTGACATTTTATCGTCTTAAAGAATTTAATTCCAATTTATTTCTGAACAACACGTATTGATTATTTTATTGAAAGAATATTCCGGAAGTTGTATGTACAAATTACTCGTTGCTTCTCATAAAGGTATCGAGCTTTGTACAACTACAAGCCGCAAAACGACGACGAGCTGGAGCTGAAGGAGGGCGATACGGTATACGTTATGGAGAAGTGCGACGACGGATGGTACGTCGGTTCCAGTCAAAGAACCGGCTACTTCGGCACCTTTCCAGGGAACTACGTGGAGAGATTGTGAGGAAGGTCGACGATCCGGGACTTGGACGCCGCGCGGCGTATCAAGGCCCAGGATAATATTCACCAAAGCATTAGACGGAATCGTTAAGGTAGACAGCGAATTTCTCGGCGTTTAACCCGATCGTTCCCGGCAATATAAACGCCCTATCAGCATCTTCGATTATCATGATTATTATTTTATCTATTTTATTTTATGTTTGCAATTTTATTTGACCCGCATATTATATGAAAAAATCTTAATAATTGTCGTCTCATTGTCTTTTGTAGCTTAATAATTAAATTTTAATCATATGTTTATATTTTCGATACTATTTGAACATATTTAAGATAATAATTCTATGATAATACGCGAAAAAAATTCATATAATTATACGATACACGTAATTCGCGAAATGTCACCAATACAACGAATAAAACGTCTAATTAAATCCACGCGATCGTGCCTATGTCGCACAAAAATACTTTCCGAGTTTGGAGAATATGATTAACAATCATATCATGCAACGTGGGCAATATTTTTATCGCCCTGAACGATGAATAATTTGAAAGGCGAGAGGGTTAAGCGTTCAGAATGAAATGTAAAGAATGTCACACGAGTCTTCCTTTTTGGATCTAACGATGAAGTTATCGATAACGCAATTAAGATAAATATTAAAAGTGTGTTTGCGGCGAGGCGTAATGGAGCTCTCATACGATCAGATTGTTATCGCTAAAGAGTCAATATCCGAAATATTTATTGATATCAATATACATCATCTCTTGCATCTAATGTCACATAACGAATGTTCGATATGATTCTCATACAATCTCTTAAATGATTTTATTGATAAAATGAGAAATTGAAAAAAACGGAATTAATCACTGATCGTATCAGGGCCCTTTTTCTGGCGTCGGATTTACCAAAAGATTTAGCAAGATAGTCCGCTAGGATACGTGAGTTTGTAAGTAGAGTTTGTAAGTAGTGTACAATAACGATTTTAGTAAATTATTGTTATAGCTGTTCCTGACAAATGCGCTTTCCGCTATCCAGGAAAATATTGTCAGGTCGACGTCCAACGTGTTGAGACGTAGTATCATCGAAAAAAAAAGAAGCGTAGAGAAAATACGACATCGAAGAGTTTCGAAGTATCCGAGATAGCGGATAATATAATTTGACATTTTAGGACGGTTGTTTTTCCCGAGAGGCAAGAATTATCATCCACACGCGGAGACTTGTTTTAAATTAGAGAGAACGGTTTCCCCATGATTTCGTATACTGTAGATAAAATCGGTCACTGTTATTGTTGGATTCGTGAGTATTTCGAGACTAACGGACTTATAATTGAAAGTTTGCCTACCCAAATTAATATTTTTGTAAACATTATTTGTACCCAGAGAGTTATATATAAATATACAACATATATATAGAGTAGATATATATATCTATATACACATACATCTATATATACATACATAT